TTGAAACTTATTTTTAGAACAATAAAGTCCACTGGGTAGAGATGAATGGTCTCCAAAGGATTTTATTCCCTTTCTGAATAGAGCTCAGCCTCACGGAGCTTGGCTTTCAATTTCTGCTGCCTGGCTGTTCCCTGGGCACTTAGAGGTCCTCTGGTGATGCCCCCTCTATTTCAAGAGCCCCCAAAACTAAGCTGAGTGACTACAGATAAGTTTTTGGTACTTTCCAAAATTAAACTATTTCCCTTGGTAAATTTCCAGCGAATGAGCTCACTAATCTGAAAACAGGATGTGGCAATTGAAGAGTGTGAGGTCAGGCTGCCTGATCGGTCCTCCTACCCTTGCCTAGGGTAGACAGGGAGGGAGAGTAGGAGAGGGGTGGGACCTGAGAGTGGCTCTTACAGACCCCAGATCCTTGAGAAATGTCACTTGATCCTTTGCCCTTGAGAATGGGTAAATTCTTAAATCAGAGACATAGGGAGCTCTTTGAATTCTTTGTTTTAGAATTGAAAGGCCCAAACTAGGCTTGGTGGCAAATGCCTAGAATCCCAGTACTCAAGAAGCAGAGGCAGAAAGATCACTAATTTTAAGCTAGCTTGGACAACATAGAAAAAATTTAAAAAAGAAACGTTAAAAACTGGAGTTACGCATGGTGGCATAAGCCTTTAATCCCAGCACTTGAGATGCAGAGGCAGGAGGATCTCTGTGAGTTCAAGACCAGCCTGGTCTAATAGCAAGTTTCAGTCCAGCTGGGGTTGCAGAGAGACCCTGTCTCAAAAACAAACAAAAAAACTTAAAGAGTGGAAAGGCCCCCAGAGGCCCCCTCTGAGCAGAGATTGTGTTGTGGAGGTTCCTAAGATGCAATACTTGTCTTCAGGCAGTCAACCCCCTTCCAAGAGGGATCCCAAGGTCTTTTTCCACCAGCTAGGCAGAGACCCAGTCCTGCAGCATCGCCTACCTGCCTGAAACCGGAAGACAGTGCACTCCTTGCCATGGATGGAAGGTTTATATATCTACCATGCTCAAAATCAAAAGCCTAGGGATGTGTAGTGATGCATGTCTTTAATCTCAGCACTCAGGAGGCAGAAGCAGGTGGGTCTTTCTGAGTTTGAAGCCAGCCTGATGTACATAATGAGTTCAGGACTACATAGTGACACCCCATCTCAAAAAAAAAAAGGCAATTTTCAAAAAATACAAGTTGCTTCGTCTTTTAAACTATACTTATATCCTGACACTGTTTCTTAATTTTTTGATTAATAATTCACACAGATTCACAAGGAAAGGAATAAGCATCTCTCTGTGTGTAACTGTGTGTTTACACTAAAAAGCAGAACCACTTCCCTGCTGTACCAGTTTTGTAAGCTCAGTGTGTTGGGAGCCCCACCACCTCCTTGCTGACTGCACCAACCCACTGAGCTTGGAGGAGCCTGCAAGTTCCAGGCTCTCTGCAAGAATACACAGGGGGTAAGGCTTTTCAGTTCACCTGCGGGCGGGATTTCAGGCAGGAGATCAATGCCAGGTGCGTGCTCCTGCATTTGCGGTACTGTTTCATTATGTGCAGTGGCTGCAGGGGATACCAGGGACAAGCGCAAAGGGGACTGGAAGCGTGGTAACTACTACTGGGAGCATCAGAGCCCACGGGCCCATAGATGCATTCTGGGCCTCAGTTTCCCCGGTGCAGGGAGCGCTTTCTCCACGCGTGGCTGTGTCCTCCATGGCTTCTGCAACCACCCGTGTCTTCCAACCAGTCAGAAACTCCCGGCCTGGCGCTGGCAGGCGGTGGCGGCCCCCAGATTCGTTGCCCGGCGTCCACATCACCAAGTGTGGGCTCTGGGACGCGCATCCGCGCTGCAGAGCCCACCCAGGACCCTATGCCCTTCCTGATTGGCGCCTTGGCCCCTGAACTGTCACAGCAGCAGCTGTGCCCTCAGTGCTGGGCTTGCACAAATGTGGCCCTGAAGGCGCGACAGCCACCTGCCTGGGGAGGAGCGGGACAGGCTGGGGACCTGGCAGCCGTCCCCAGCTGCAGGACGCAGGGCGCGATGAGATCCCAAGCAGGGGAATCACACCATCTCCGCACAGCCAGGGGAGAGTGGGGTGTGAGAAGCTGCGCGGTGACCTAGACTCAGAGCTGAGAGACTTCTGGTGCATGGAACCATAGAGATCCGGGAATCACACCATCTCCGCACAGCCACCGAGACTTCCCAGGGGAGAGTGGGGTGTGAGAAGCTGCGTGGTGACCTAGACTCAGAGCTGAGAGACTTCTGGTGCATGGAACCATAGAGATGGGACCCACCGAAGGAAGTGGAGGTGGGAAAGAAAAGGGTGGAGGCCACAGCGGTTGGGGCGGGTATTGAGTTTCAGGGGTGCTGGAGTGAGGGAAGTGGGGACTGCGTGGAAAGGGTAAAAGCCCTGGTCAGCACTTCGTGGCATCTAAACTAGGGCAAGCCCAGAGCATTTGACAACCTGGCCAGCTACCTACCAGACAAGAGGGTTCCCTGGAGTTTCAGTCAACTCTATAGGCAGACAATCCTCTCTATTTTACTGCAGAGTGAGGAGAGGGAACAGAAATGAAAGAAATGTGGGGTGAGGGCATAGAGCATTTTAAAGCACAGGTGGTCTGGGCTAGATCTTTCCTGTCTTACTAGGTGTGAGCTCATGGCCAAGGCACCCAACTTGTCTGTGTCTTGGGTCCCTCGCAGTTGTAAAGTGGGGGCCTCCTAAAAGTCACCGGAAATGTAGATGAGATGAGGGCTGGAGATAGGGCTCAGTTGGTAGAGCACTTGTTCAAGGCCTTGAGTTTGATCCCAAGGGCTGAGAAAAACAAAGTACTTAATATGCAGCCCTAAAAAGTAAAGTCCAAGAGCATTGCTATCTGGTGCATAAAACAAGCTATCAAGGTTATCTGCTGGCCCAGCCTTGTGGGAGGCTAGAAGTTCTGATTGCCACTGAAGTCACAGGATGCAGTAAAACTTGCAGCCCCTAAATGCTCTGGAATCGTTCTAGAGAAAGTAGACAGCAGAGTTTATCTAACTAGGGTCAGATCACAGCATCCAACCTGCCCTGCACCCTCGGGAGGCTCAAGGAAGTTGACAGATGTAAAAACACTGTGTAAGTGTAGTCTGCCATTTTAATGTTCCTTATTTTGAGGCACAAGAAGGGTATGGCCATCACCTGAGTAAAATATCAAAGCTATTGGGGTATGCCACTTGAGCCATGACCCCTGCCACAATTTCACTCATAGCTTTGTCAACTTGACACAACCTAGCATCACCTGGGAATAGAGTCTCAAGAAGGATTGTCTGCATTGGACTGGCCTGTGGACATGCAGTAGGGAATTGACATAATTAAGTTCACTGACATGGGAAGATCCGACGGACTGTGGGCAGCACCATTTCCTAGGTAAGGGTCCTGAACTGTATTAAGAGTAAAAGAATTGAGCTGAGCACAAGCAAGCAAATTTGCATGCATTTTTTTCTCTTTGTTCTTGACTATGGATGTGATTTGACTTAGGTGTTTGAAGTTCTTGCCTTGACTTCCTCCCGGTGAGGGATTGTAACCTGGAATTGTAAATCAAATAGACTCACTCTCTTCTCTGTTGCTTTTAGTCCAGGTGTTTTTTTTAACTTTTTAATTTAATTTTATTTATTATTTTTATTTTATGTCTATGCATGTATTACCTGCATGTAGGTAAGTGCACCCATGTCGTGCAATGCCCACAGAGGACAGAAGAGGTTGTCGGATCCCCTGGGACTGGAGTTACAGACAGTTGTTAGCTGGCATGTGGGTGCTGGGATTTGAACCCGGGTCTTCTGCAAGAACAGTCAGTGTTCTTAACTGCTGAGCCATCTCTCCAGCCCCTAGTCCAGGTATTTTATCACAGCAACAGAAAACTACAACACCTACTACCTTGCTTGATCATCACAGCAATCAGGTAAAATCGATATTATCTTACATTTTACAGATGCTGAAACTGAGACTCAGAGACATTAAAGACCATATGGTAGACCCAGGATCCCACTTCAGACCTGTCTGACCTCAGAGCCTGTGATTTAAAAGCAGTATACACACCTATAAAACTCCTATAGCAGGCCAGCTGGATAGAAAGGTACACAGAGGCCATCTTTGTCATCTGACAGACTAAGACAAGCTGGATACTCTGACCTCCACCCCAGGCTCTGAGACCCCCACCAAGCTGTCTTGCCCTCACCTCTTCTGTGGTGGAACAGCACAGACCTGATGACCCACAGCCCTGGTTCGTCTCTCACTGCTCTACTTCAGGCTGCATGGCTTTGAGCTTTGCATCTTGCTTAGCTGAGCTATACACGGCTACAAAGAATTGTAAGGACCACAAAGGGAAAGGCCAGCTAGCACACCGTAGACTGGTCAGAGATGTGTTTCCATGGTTCCCTGATCTTGCACACATACATCCCACTTGGCTGCCGAGAACAAGTCTCCATGAACCTGGACTTCTTTAGTGCTTTGTTCTCAGCAGGGAAGTAGTGGCGCCTGAAGAGAGCACATAGCCACCTATGACTTCCTGAGTGGGGCGGTAGGGAGAGAGACCTGATGAGTCTGAGGTCACAAGGCCTTGAGCTTCAAAGGAGGGGAGGGTCCTGTTTGTCGCATACATAACTGATACAATGCTACAGGCAGGGTTGGGCCATCCAAGGCCTTCCTGCCACCTAGAGACTATTTGTTGCAACTTATTTTTTCACAGACGGCTAATCAAGTGGCACTGTGAGAAAGTGGCATTTACCTGAAGTCACCCAGACACTCTGGAAGACCTAGAACCTGAAGTTTTGGATCTGCTTCCAGAAAGCTGGGGGTTTCCACTAGAAAGGTAAGCCCCCATCCCACTCTGCCCCAAAGAATTCTGCATGGTCCAGAGGTCCCACGGGGTAAAACAAGTGATCAGATGTGGCTCCACCAAGGTGCCCTGCAGAGGAGGTGGAGGAAGCCAGCAGCTGCCTGTGGTTCTCAGGCAGGGGAACTGTGACTCCGAGAGCCTATGACACAGCTCTCTTCCTCTGACTCGCTCTTTTGCTCTTTCTCACTGAAAAATGCCTGGACACTCCTAAAAGCATTCAGTCCCATTTGGGGATTTTTTTAACCACAGAGGGTAATTCCTGCTCCATCCCTGTTGTGACTCAGCTGTGACGTTGAACCACACAAATCAGAGAGAAGATAAAGTCATCAGAAAGCGTGGCCCGGGCCAGAATCCACCTCTCCCCAGACTTCACAGGGCTGTTCTTCTGCGCTGGAGCAGCACAGACAGACTCTCTGGCTACCTGGAACCCCAAGATGGCCTCCAGCTCTGGCAGCAGTCCCCGCCCAGCCCCTGATGAGAATGAGTTTCCTTTTGGGTGCCCCCCTGCTGCCTGCCAGGACCCATCAGAGCCCAGAGCTCTCTGCTGCTCAGCTTGTCTCTCTGAGAACCTGAGGTGAGGGGCTAAAGAGCTAATGGTGGGCTAGAAGAATTGTCAGGGAGAGCCACCTGATGGGAGGCAGGGCTAAGGGGAGCTGGTAACTTTGGGAAGGTAGCTTGATCTCTCTAGGTCTCAGTTTCCACAGCCTTTTCTCCTAGATACTGTGGGCAGATCAGTAGCCACAGAAAACTGTCAGTTCATTCTCTACTAAGGCAGAAACTTGAGGCCCTACTCAGCTGTTTACTGTGTAGCCTGGTATGAACTTCTGAGGGCTCGAAGCCTCAACTTTTTGCCCCTAGTGTTATCTACTGCCTCGCAAAATTATTACAGGACCAATCTGTAAGATTCTAAACCCTTCTTATAATAATGAATATAGGCCCCCTTGTCAAATATCAAATTGAGATACAATTTCATTCTATTAAACCCTATCAAAGGGGTAAAGAGACAGATTAGATATTTATGTTTAAAGTAAATAACTGAGATGTGTTATGTCAGTAGCAACATCAGCATCCTGACTTAAGCAACTGTTATGCATCTGCTGTGTGGCAAGTACTCTTTCCTGTGTCCTCAGAGCAACCTGAAGAGATAGCTATGGTCACTGTCCTATTGTATACATGGGGATACCAAGGCCTCTCAGAGAGATCTAGTCACCTTGCCTCATGCCAGTTTCCTGACAAAGACACCCTTAAATGACCATGAGCCATTAGCATGATCTTTTCTTTGGGGTTTACAACTTAAGAATGTGGGGAAACAGAATCAGGCAAATGAGACCTTCAAACATGATGACTAAGTAGAGGAGGCTGCAGGAACAAGGTGGGAGGTTGGGGCAGGTGAAAAGGACAACTTGCAGTGGAGGCACAAGGATGACTTGGTTTCCTGGCCAGCTGATGCTCTGGACCCATCGTGACTTTTGTAGTGGGCCTGCACTGAAAATGTGGCAGAGGAGGCACAGGAGCTGGAGGATGCAGAGGGGTGGGGGTGGGGCAGCCTGAGGTACCTCTCTGCCCTTGACTCACTCTCCCTTGGCCTATCCAAGGTTCCTCATTTTCCTCACCTAGAAATGGACTAGGTCAGTAGTGTTCACTGTGAGTCTAAACCATTGTAAAAACACAGGTAACACAGGTGCCCCCTGTAGCACCTTGGTCAAAATCTGACACCCGTTCCAGGTTAGATGGACTCTGAGGCCTCTTCTTGTTTTAAATAGGCCATGATCACCTGCCATGGCCAAAAATAAGAGACCAAAACTACACGTAGGATGTTGAAAAGGACACATAGAATTCCACACCCATAATCCCTTGCCTAGGCCTCAGGAATTGGATATGATTGGGGATTCCAGAATTTTTGCAGCTTTGTAAAAGGCATGTCAAGACCTGAAGAGATGGCTCATCAGGTGAGACTGAATACTGCTCTTTCAAAGAACCTGAGTTCAATTCCCTGCACCCACATCAGATAACTCACAACCACCTGTAACTCCAGGTCCAGGGAATCCTATGTGCCTGGTCTCTGTGGGCACCTGCACCCACATGCACATACCCGTGTGTGTGTGTGTGTGTGTGTGTGTGTGTGTGTGCATGTGTGTGTGTGTGTACATAACTTAAGATAAAGTAAATATTTTTAAAAAGAAAAAGGCAAGTCAGTACATGGAATAATTCTTCCAGCAGGGCCTGGGGCAGCATCCTGCAATCAAGCACTTTGAAGGCTGTTTCAGCAGTGAGACGTATGTAGTCACACTAAGTGCATGAGGAGGGGCATGATCAGGTCAGGTCAGTTCAAGTGCGTCTGCCAAAGCAGCTCACTACAAATCCACAGGAAAAAGTGGGTGTCCAGGGCTTCCACAGTTTGGCAGCAGGGGCTCTAAGACTGTGGATCTGTGTGAACATTGGTGTCAATCACTCCAAAAGACAAGGTCTAGACTTTGATGGGGTTCACAAAGGTGGTGGATGCCAGCAAGGGGTAGCACCTCATTTGAGAGACTTGTTGGTGTTTCCCCAGGAATTGTGAAGATCCAATCTGTCCTAAATGCAAACGGGACAACCTCCAACCTGTGAACCCAGGAAGCCTTCTGACTCTGGAGAAGGTAGGATAAGAATGGTTTACATTTTAAATGACAAAAGAAATCAACTTATATGATTTGGGACTCATGAAATGCAAACTTCTGTGTGCATAAAGTTTCATTGGTACCTAGCCACTCCCACCCTCTTGTATTATCTATGGCTGTTTTCTCCCTATAATGGCAGAGTTGAGCACTTACAACAGAGACTTCAAAGCCCCACATATTTACTCTGTGGTCCTGAGACTTTACTCGAGAAATTCAGTAAGCTCCTGATACAGAGAGAGGCCATTTTCAGCTAATTTCTTGGGTGAGCCAAGCTCTACTTCCAGGAATAAGAGACATCTTTGGATCTCTGTATATATGAAGGGCCAGAGAGACATACACAGGCAGCACAGCCTTCAACTCTGGTCCTCCCAAGCTGAAAGGTCCCCTCATGGCGTATCTGTCTAGCCCAGAGGTTCCCGGATTTCACCAGTTCATAACAAAATAAAGTACAGAAATAGAATTTTTATCTTCCACATTATCTTTCAGAGAATCAGTCTTTACTCTGAGAGTAGGTCTTTCCTGCACTTGTCTTTGTATGAATGAAATGATGTGTGAGTCGCTTAAGAGGTTGGAGTAAAGCTTTTGCTAGATACAATAAAAGAACTGGCAATCTTTACATTAATCTCTCAATTAAAAAAAAATCCAAACAGAACTTATATATGGGTCCAAAATTCCCAACCTGTAAGAGTTACTGTGTAAAATCTGACCTCTTCGTTTCATGTCGGGAAGATACACTGGGAATCTAAGAGCCAGAGCTCCCAGTGGCCAGAGTCTCAACTGTTTACCCATCCTCTCTGTCCCCACTGCAAGACAGGTACAGGCTGCTTTCTGGCAAAACTCTGCACTGGCAATGAATAATGGCCCACAGATCCAGATCCTGGTGTGCAGTCAGGTTTGTGTCACTCACTGCATGGCTGGAGGCAAGCCCAGGCCCCGTTTATCCCTTGGTAAAATGAAGACACTAATTTGGTTCTATTATGACATCTGGGTTATAGGTCAGCAGCTGTTAGGGTGCCCTTCACCTCCACCTGCTGAACATGAAGCATGCAAGTCTCCATACCTTGAGCTCCTTCTCCATACTGGTCCCTGTCATTCAAAAAGTAGCGGGGGAAATTCCCTGCCCTGCCCAGAGGTGTTTTAAAGGGCTTTCCCTTCCTCTTGTCAGCAGCCCCTACTCTGGTGGGCCCACAGAGATTAGGAGCAAGAGACTAAGAATCAAGTCTGAGAATAACGATCAAGTCCACTGTCCATGGAAGAGCCTCCTGAACCTTCCTGTTTGGCAGTCTCTGGACCAGCCACCATTCTGAAGCAGGCTCCTAGGGGTGGGACACTGCCCCCCCCACCGGGGGGCAGCGCATGGGGACTAGGCTGTATGTTTTCTAAGGCTCTGCTGCTTGCCAGCTCCAGGGTTATTGTTTTTAAGTCGTTTTATTTTTTCCTCTTAGCAAAATTAATACCCACCACTTATATGAATGTTAGGCAACATAGATCAGATATGTTTTAATATCGCTTAATCCAGCAGCTTTAATTCATCTTCATCAAGGCAAAATCCAATGTAAGAAGTGTTCTGAAAAAGGAGCTCCTGAAGCCTGTTCTCTTAGTTAACCCATTCCATCTCTTTCTCTTATCCTAGTCTCTGAGCGTTGTGGGGGTTTTTTTGTTTTGGTTTTTTTGTTGTTGATGTTGTTGTTGTTTTGCACGGGGGCGGGGCGCTTCTAAAGCCCTGTGAGGGCACAGTTTAAAATGTAAAATGTGCTGCCTTAAGCCAAATGAAGGCAATTTCATGGTAGAATTATAGGGGCCATAACAGCTTATGGGGTAGGAGGGGGATGTACTCACAAAGGCCTCTTTGATGTAGGTGGATCCTCCCTCCCTGCAGGCTTCCCCACCCAATGCAGGCCTCAGCACTCCTGCAGTAAAAAGAGTGCTGGACTGAGTCAGTGGCCTGATCACAGAGAGGAAACACTGAGGGCTCACCTGATCCTTCCCCTAATGGGAACTTTGGGGGACTTTTAAAAAATATTGTATTTATTATTTTCATTTTATGTGTATGACATGTATGTAAGGTGCGACCATGTCATGTAACATCTGCAGAGGTCAGGAGAGGGTGTTGGATCCCCTGGAATTGGAGTTATGGACTGTTGTTAGCTACCATGTGGGTGCTGGGAATCGAACCCAGGTCCTCTGAAAAGTAGCCAGTGCTCTTAACTGCTGAGCCATCTCTCCAGTCCCATGAACTTTGGAGGAGTTCTGACCCAAGGAAAATGGCTGATAAGTCAGTCTTTTGTGTGGAATAATTCCCAGGTTTGTCTGCAGTACCTGGAAAGTGGAGGTTGGGCAGTGAGGCCAGGCTGGAAAGCAGCCCAAGGCACCCATCTTACAAACGCTCCCCATGCCATCTGCTTATCAGTCTGTCAGCATCCTCTGATTCCGCAGATCACTATCTCCTAAGAAGGGCCCAGAGTCATCAGCTAGCTACCAAGGTAACAAGCAAATATTAGAGGATTAATGCTGACCCACTTAGAGATGTGGTTCTTACTTGAAATGATCTTTCTGAACAAGTGACAGTGAATAGATGAGGGACGGACTGGAGAAATGGCTTGGTGGATAAGAGCACCTCCTGTACAAGCCTGAGGACCTGAGTACGAATACCTAACACCCATATGGAAAAAAAAAGTAGGCTTGGCCATGCATACCTATAACCTCAGTGCAGTGTGGGGCAGAGACAGGAGGATCACTGGGGCTTACTGGCAACCAGCCTAGTTCCAGGTTCAGTGAGAGACCCTGCCTCAAGGGAATAAGGTGGAGAGTTTCTGGTTCTATTGTGAGTAAATGGACAGAGCAGGACCCTTGATGTCCTCTTCCAGCCTCCATAAGCACATGGGCCTATACATCTGCACACAAATGTGTGCATACACCATGCACACACACATACACAAAATAAACCAGGAGCTAGAAAATATTTGATTCTGTTTGCTGAAACTCCAAAAAGGGGACTGTTTCTCTCACCCTCCTCCTTTTGAGTCCCAATTAAGAAGTTCAAAAGCAACTGAACCCATTTGCTCACAGTGATGCCACAGCTCTTTTTAGAACCCAGAAAGATGACAGGTATTTACATGGACTAGTCTAATTTCCAGCCACATGGAGTAGGGGCTTCTGCCACATGAAGTTATGTCATTCCAAAGTAGGAAGCTTATGACATGATACAGTGATCCCCTTGCACATCCAAGGTGTTCTGATGCTTCCGGTGATTTCTTCATTATTTGTACAGAGCTGAAGTCTGCCTCCTTTGAGAGCCACCAGGGGCCAGTCTCCTGTCCCAAGCTCAATCCTGATGTGTGGAAAAACACTAATTAACCATGTCCTTCTTGAATCTGTCCCCAATCTCTGTACCTCTGTTACTTGAAGTGACATTGCCAGAGTGAACCCAAAACCCTTTTACCCCTGAACTTGACATCCAGTGGTATCCTGGATGATGACCCTGTTTCAGCAATAGGTAATATACCAAGACCCAGGGCCTTGGACAAAAATTACACAGTGAAGTCAGGCTCTAATCCCTGCTTCCTGGTCTGGAGGCATTTTCTCCATGCTGCCACCAAATGGGGACTCAGTCCCCATATGCTTTATGCATGGTTCAATGACACAGTCCACCTAAAAGCCAGAACCCACCAAGTGCTATGGAAAGAGCAGGCTTCTTTAAAATTCACCTCATTTCAACCAGGAGAATCACGCAGGGCTTCCTGGAGGAGGCTATACTTGGACCAAGCAGAGGTTGGCAAAGAACCTGGCCCAGTTACAGAGGAGAGTAAAAACTGGCAAGGAAGTGGGAGAGTAAGCTCCCCCAGGATGATAAAGTACCTCCTCTTAGCATCAGATGAGGCTCTGGCAAAAACAGTCCCCAGGACTTCCCATGCTCTTCGCATCCAGCTCAGCAGATGGACCCCAGCATCTCAGATCCTCCTGGCTTTGCACAGGCCTGTACTGGGGTGGTCCTCAGGTTCCCGGCACTTTGAGTGAGCACACTAGCGAGGAGTAGGGGAGTTCTGTATCCAGGGGAATAATATACTAATGGTGATAGCACTCATTCTGGTGAACATTGACCAGAAAATGCTCCCCAAACAGGTCCACATCTTCACCCCTAGAACCTATGAATTTTGACCCATTTGCAAGGGCTGCCCTAACCAAGGCACAGACTGGGCTGTTTCTTCACAATCATGGAGGCTCTAAGTCTAACATGAAGCATAGCTAAGGTTGGTTTCTTAGCGGTCTTTGTGTGTATGTTCATGTGTGTGCGGGTGCACATGGAACCCAGAGGTCAACCTCAGGTGTCCCTACTCAGGTGTCATCCACCTTGTTTTTGTTTTTTAGGGGTTGTTTTGTTTTGAGACAGGGTCTCTTCCTGGTCTGGGATTTGCTGATTCGACTAGGCTGGCTGACCAGCAAGACCCAGGAATCTTTCTGTCTCCACCTCCCCAGTGCTGGGCTTATACACATGCACTATCACACCTGGATTTGTTATGTTTCTGGGCATTCTGTGATACAAGAAGTTCAAACCGTGAATATGATCCTGGGGAGAGCATTCAGCCCAGAACAATGGCTAAAGGACTCTGAAGGCATGAATGAAAGCTCTTGAAGTTGGGGGAGTCCCCTGGACTACCTGGGTAACACATATAATCACAGGCTCCTCATGAGAGAGAGACAAGAGTCACCAGGAGACAGGAAGGGGCTGCTGGCTTTGAAGATGGAGAAAGGACCTGCAAGCCAGGGCCTACAAGCAGCCTCCAAGTAGCCGTGGTACTGCCAGCACCCACATGTTAGAACTACTGGCCCCAGAAATATGCGATTAGAAGTCTGAATTGTGTTAAACTGTGAATTATGTGGTATTTTGTCACAGAAACAAGAGGTAACTAATGTTAACACTTACACGTATTACTTCATTTGCTTGAAATAACTTAAAATGTGTGTTGTTACCCCAATTTGTAGATGGGGAAACAGTATCCCAGGCTTGAACTCATGATGTAGGTAAGGATGGCCTTGAACTCCTGATCCTCCTGCCTCCAGCTTCTGAGTGCTGGGATTACAGTTGTACACCACAAATCCAGGTTTGCCCCATGCTGGGGATTGAACCCAAGGCTTCATGCAAGCCAGGCATGCAACTCAACAACATTCTCAGCTCAATGAAATTACTTTACAAAAACTCAAACACCACTCTAAAATCACTTACTGTGATAACTAATTTTTATTGTCAACTTGACACACCTAGGAAGAGGGAACCTCGCTTGAGGAATTTGCCAATGGGTGTGTATGTGTGCCATTTTCCTGAATCATTGAATGGTGTGGGAGGGCCCAGCCCACTGTGGGCAGTGCCATCCTTAGGCAGGTGGGCTTAGGTTGTATCAGAAAGCTAGCTGAGCAAGCCATTAAGCATTGTCCCTCCTTGGTCTTTGCTTCAGTTCCTCTAGGTTCCTGCCTTGGCTTCCCTCCATGATGGGCTGTGAGCTGTAAGAGGAAATAAACCCTTTCTTCCCCCAAGTTGCTTTTAGCCAGAGTGGTTTATCACAGTAGCCAAGAAGCAAACTAGGACACTTACCCACCACTTATAATAACCCTACAATCCACACATTCTACTGCTAGGAATTTACCCAAGAGTAATGAAAGTCCATTTCTACACAGAGACATGTATGAATGCTCCCAGCAGCTTTAAGCAGCTTTATTCACAACAGCCCTCACCTGGAAACCATCCAGGGGGGTGGCCAGTGGCAGTAAATAGATCACAGATTGTATCTCTTCCCTATACAGCCTTACACAATCAAATGGAATTAATACAAACATACTCTATGACACAAATGGACCTTGAAACCATTAGGCTGAAAGAAGTCAGATTCTAAAGACCACTTACTCCATGACACCCTCCTGAGGAGATTCTGAAAGAGGCAAAATTACCCTGACAGGTACAGATCTGTGGCTGCCTGGTACTGGGCTGGAGGGAGCTGGCTGTGCAGGGATGCAAACTATCCTTTCTGGGACAGAAACTTTTGTGGTCTTGACAGTGGTGGGTCACCTGCTTTTGTACATTAATCAGGATTTTATCAAGCTATGCACTTAAAATGAGTGAGTTTTACTACATGTAAATAATAGCTTGATTTTATAAGAGCTTGTTTTGATAAAATAATCAAAGGGGATTTGTATGAAGGGAGGGGAGGATGGAAGGCTTCAGGGATGAGTAGATACAAAGCCACAGGATTCATTCCTCTGTAAATAAAATAAGCAGAGGCTGTGGCCTGATGTGTACAGTTGATTTGGGACACAGAGCCCAACCTAGCAAAGACCCACCCACCAGCCCCACTGCCCTGGGCTTCAGGGACAAGCTGTTCCCAACACAGAATAGGAAACAGATGTTTAATGGGGGTCAGAGGGGGGCAGGCTGAAGGCGGCCCTGGCAGAAACACACACTTGTTTTGGGAAGTCTGCCTCAACACAGCCTTTCCAACATGTCACTCTTGATGACCCGTGTTCAAGGGGCACCCAATGCCAGGTATGGCCCTGAGGCCTGGGTTGATGGACCTGGAACCTGCTAGGGCCCAAATCCCCCTACATGTTCATGATTCCCATCCCTTGTGGCTCAAGGGTTGAAACTTGAAGTGATAGTTCTCAGAGGGATAAGGAGGGAAAGTGGGCCAGTTGACACTGGAATTCAGGCATCGCCCATTCTGAGAGGCGTGCTTGTGGGTAGCAGGGGCTTTCTGGGATTATGTAAACAAGACAGCCTGCTGTAGGCTGCCTGGATGCCTGGCTCATCCTTATGATGAGGCATGCACAGACATGTGCTGGGACTAGTCTCAAGTGCTTATGGAGAGGTAGGGGTGACTCAAGAGGTCTTCTGAGGCCTTATGGGTCATCTATGATGATTTAAACAAGCCATGTCCCCCATAGGCTCCAAGTATTTGGACACTCTGTCCTAGTTCATGGTATTGTTTGGGGAGGGTCGTGGAAACTTTAGGAGGTGTGGCCATGCTGGAGGAAGAAGCACAGCACTGGGGTAGGGCTTTGATAGTTCAAAGCCACGTTCCACTTCCAGTTCCTCTCTTTGCTTCCTGTGCCTGCCTGAAGGTGTGAGCCCTCAGTTTCTGTTCTGGCTGTCTCCTGCCATGCTTGCCCCACTATAATGGACTCTTATCCCTCTGGAACTGTAAGCCAAATAAATTCTTCCTTCTATAAGCTGCCTTGGTCATAGTGTTTTATCACAACCACAGAAAAGTAACAAATACACTCCTTACCATGTAAGGGGTGGGGTGTGGATTCCAGAGTCAACATGTAAGGGCTGATGGTTCTTTCATATTACTTCTTAGCAGTGTGGCCCTGGGAGAGCTGTTAACTTCTCCATGTCCTGAAATTTTAAATAAATAAATTAAATGCTCCCATTGTGTTTTTCCAGGGTCTATGCTGTTTTGCTTTCAGTGTTCCACAGCCTCTCCAGGACGTGCTGTGTCACTCTTAATTTCAGCTGTCCTGGCAAAAGGAGAATGCTGTTTTGTTGTGGTTACAATTTCCATTTCTCTGATGATGCCTGATACCTATCATGACCCTCATGGGCATATTCCTCATTCATGTAACCCCTTTGTGAAGTATTTGTTCAGCATTCTTCCCAGTGAGGGAACTGAAGAGTAAGGGATGGCCCCAGAGCTGTGAGGAATGTGTCTGGATAGGACAAATGGCAGTGCTGCTCAGTGCTGCAGGGCCCTGGTCCTGTGGTGAAGGATGCTCATAAAAGGGCCAAGACTCCAAGAGCAGAGCAGAAAGCAGGCTAGCCGGAGCATAGGCCAAGTCATATGTCCATTAGCTTCTGGTGCATCCCAGTGCTTTGCAACGAGCCCTGGAGGCATCCCCAGGAATCCCCAAAGCATGCTGTGATATGGTTCTCTTCTCCAGGTTCACCCTGAAGTGACCGAGGCTGGAGTTGCATGTCTCTTTGCAAGTGTTGGCTGCTCCTTCAAGGTAAGCATCTGCATGTGAAATCTGTCCATGATTCCAGACCTCTGTATCTCTCTCCAAACCACCCAGAACATCAAGCTTTAGATGTTCCTTATGCTAATGAATTGCCAGGCAACAAATCCTAGTATTAAGTCACTGTAGTACTCTGGGAAGTCCTTCTTAATGTCTCACCTTAGCCTTAGTGTAACATCACTAAGATGCCCCTAGTGCCTCTCTCCATGGTCCTGAACCGTCATTGCCCTCTAGGGCAGGGCAGGATGGTCACACTAGAGACTAGGATGGATGTGGCTCCCTGTGAGGGTATCTGAGGCCTGTCCTCCTGAACATCACTCCACCCCACGCCCTATACAGATAGCTTTGGTTGGTGGATACCAGGTCTCACTGCTGATCCCTGAAGTCTCCCTCCATCTTGCTGCTCGTTAAAGACCCCCACTCTCTTGGCAGGGGAATCCACAGTCCATGAAGGAGCATGAAGCCACCTCTCAGACCTCTCACCTACACCTGCTGCTGGGATTCCTGAAGCAGTGGAAGTCCTCGCCAGGCTCCAACCTGGGCTTCACATCCAAGGGCCTGGAGCAGAACCTGTCAGATCTGCAACTTCAGGCTGCCGTAGAGGTGGCAGGAGACCTGGAGGTAGACTGCTACCGGGCGCCCTGCTGTGAGAGCCAAGAGGAACAGGCCCTGCAGCAGCTCCTGAAGGAGAAGCTGCTGGCCCAGCTGGAGGAGAAGCTGCAAGTGTTCGAGAACATTGTCGCCGTCCTCAATAAGGAGGTGGAGGCCTCCCACCTGGCACTGGCTGCCTCCATCCACCAGAGCCAGCTGGACCGTGAGCACATCCTGAGCTTGGAGCAGAGGGTGAGAGTGACAAACACAGGCCCTCGGGGTCAGCTCATGAGCCCTTGTGCCTGTCCAGCCTTCTCAGAACTTCATCCTGCTCAGAACAGTCACCTCCATCCATACCCATCTCCCCTGTGTCCCAGGACCCTCTAGGAAAAGCCTGAACCAGAAGCTAGGGTCAAGGTCAATCCCACACCACTCAGTGCTTCAGCTCCTCTGCTTGGACTTCACCCAGACCTTTCTGTCCCTGGGCAGCTCATTCCATTGTTGGACAGTTTTCACTGCTAGAAAGTTCTTTCTTCTACTAAGCTGGGTCTTCTCTGTATTGTTCCTAGCTGTGTTCTTCAAGGCCCACAAAACAACATGAAACAACATGCCTTCTCAGTCCTACAGCAGCCCTTAGAAGGGGGATAGTCAGTGACTGTGTCCTAACAGACTAGTTCCTTGTTTAAGGCAAGTGCCCAGCACCGTCACGTGCTCTTCAGACGATGCTGCTCTTGAATGCTCTGCCTCAGTCTCTAAGAGATTCCACAAAATAAGAGTGCAGCCCAGACTGACTTGAGATCCCATGTTCTCTGTCCACCTCCTTTATTCCAGAGATTATAATTTTCTTAACATAGCCAGTCACACCAGTCACCGGGCTAATGTTCCACTTTTTTTTTTTTTTACAGTAACATTGCCTCACTGTCTCCCGCTGAGCTGGTGCTGGTTTTAGTTCGAGCCCCACCATAATTTACCAAGTAGGTCTGAGCCAGTCACTTTTTCTCTTGGGACCTCAGCTTCCCCAGCAGCAGAATCAGGGATTAAATTTTCTTTGAGGCCATTATCATTTTTGGCTCCCCTTACCTGAGCACACTCAAGACTAAAGATTATTCTTTCAAATTTCACTGAGGAAACCTATTAGAAGTGCCAGACACTGGGCTCAAATGGTGGAGGCTTTGTTTATACCGTTTTACACACTAACTCCAGTTGGAAGGTAAATTCCCTGAGGGCTGGGTGGGTCTCCAACTCACTGTCAAGCTTCTGGCTCCACTCTTGGATCTGGAATCTATACAAGGTGTGGTTGCAAGGTGAGGGAGACCAGCCCACTAGGGCCATGGCTGGAGGCTTTCCAGGAAGAGCCCTGTGAGCTGGGCTCATGTTGGATGCCTAGGAGCTGGCCAGGGGAGCAAGAAGAAAAGGGCACTCTGGGCAGAAAGCAGCATGTACGAATTCAGGTACAAGCACTGGTGAGGCTTGGTCAGGAAAGCCCCTTTCAGGTGAATCTATTCCCCACTATCCCCATTCTTCCCCAAGCTGGGTTCTGGTATCCCTGGCTAACCAGTCTTCCCTACAGGTAGTGGAGTTGCAGCAGACCCTGGCCCAAAAAGATCAGGCCCTGGGCAAGCTGGAGCAGAGCCTGCGACTCATGGAGGAGGCTTCCTTCGATGGTACCTTCCTGTGGAAGATCACCAATGTCACCAGGCGATGCCATGAGTCAGTGTGTGGCAGGACTGTCAGCCTCTTCTCTCCAGGTAATTCCTCATGGCACAGAGACTGGGCAGGGGGAGACAGGACCCAGGGGGCTGGGAGACACAAAGAGAGAAGAGCCACCATTCTGGGTCAGCCACAGTCCCCCAAGGGCCCTGCCAGTGGTTTGAGCAGGGCACAGACTGTGTTCTGACCCACAGTACTGCCAGCACCACACTGACTCATCTCTGAATTCCAACTGTATCTGCAAAGAGGAATAAAAGCTAGCCACTTAGTGAGGCTACATATGGAGAAAGAGGCCTGGGAGCTGAAGCTTGTAAGGATGAAAGGGTTGTGGGTGGTGGGATCCGCCTGCCAGCGATCAGCAGTAGGAGGGACAGAGAGGGGACAGAATCAGGCACCGGAAAGCTTGTGAAAAGCATCAGTGTGTAGGTGGTACATCTTTGTGTCTGGGTCCCCAGGCCTGGCACACTGATTTGATAGAGAAATTACTTGGCAAACATTTTTTTCTTTACTAATTGGTGATATAGTAATGCAAATATCTAAGTATAAAGTGCTCATGTGCATATACACATATAAATAGCAAACATAATGTGTGTGCTTATGGGGCTGGAAAGATGGCTCAGCGGTTAAGAGCACTAACTCCTTTTGCAGAGGATCTGGGTTCAATTCCCAGCACCCACATGACGGCTAACAACCATCTACAACTCCAGTTCCAGGGGATCCAATGCCCTCTTCTGACCTCCATGGGTATTGCACAACATGGGTGCACTTACATACATGCAGGCAATACACTCATGCACATAAAATAAAAATAATAAATGTTTTAAATATGTGTGCTTATATATGCCCCTGGTTCTGTTTAAACCACACCATCTGCTGGAACTGTAACGTCTCAGAGCTTTGCCAAGTGCCTATCCTCACAGCTTCATTTTATAGATGAATAAACAGAAGCCAAGGAGGCTAAGTCCCCACTAGGGCTGCTCAGAACCAGGTGTAGAGCTGAGATACAGGCTTATGTGCTCCCTCTGTCACTGACATGCCTCAGCAGGGCTGGAGGAAAGAATGAGCCCAGCTGTCATGCCCAGGTCCTTCTGCTCTGCCTGAGCTTCAACGCTCACGCTCACCAGCTCTTCCAACAAACTGAGCTGGGGTCCTGGAAAGGCAGCAGGATCTGTCCACCCTGCAGAGCAGAGTCATCCTCTAGTGGGGTCAGCAAGATTGGCCTGGCTTACTATAGTAGTCCTTTCCTTCTGGGTCCTTTCCAAAGAGGAAACCAACCAAGGTAGTGGCTTCCTGTCCTACCTAACAAACAGTGGGCAGAGATGAGCCAGGATGTGGCCTGTCCCTCACCTCCTGTCCCTTCCCGCCTGCCCTGCCTCTACTCAAAGACTGCCACCAGAGCCCATGTTCCATAGGATTGCCAAGGAAGAGACTCCCATGGGCCCCCATGTTTGGTTACAAGGGATAACTTGCCCTTGGGGCTTTTTCCTAGAGTGGATAGCAGAACTTTGAGGTTCTTCTCTCTGACTAGACTCCAGGGGTACCCAACCATTGGGCAACAAAAAGAACAGTGCCAAGAGCTGGGAGACATGGGCCACAACCCTAATTCTGCCCCAGAATATGAGACAGTGCCAGTCACGTCCCCTTCCTGGGCTCAGTCTCTAGATTTTCACTTGTTAAATTGGTTAGAATGGTGGTTCTCACAGTGCAGCTGGGAGCCAGCAGCATGGACACCCCTGGGGAATGTTAGAACTGTAGATGCCAAGCACTCACCAGCACTGCTAAGTCAGCACTGCTGAGCCAGAGTCACCGAGTACAGGGCCTTATCTGTAATCAGAAGGCCAGGTGACAACCCCTGGCCTAGGTGACCTCCAAGAGCATGCCTCTCCTCAGAGCTGTCATGGAAAAGCGGGCTGGGCTCCAACCCCAGATGTTCTCAGCTCGAAGCCCACTGCACTTCATCCCCTCATCTGCAAAGCCTAGCTCTAGCCAGCTGCCCTGTGCTGACACTGACTCCATCTTCCAGCTTTCTACACCTCCAAGTATGGCTACAAGCTGTGCCTGAGACTGTACCTGAATGGGGATGGCTCAGGCAAGAAGACCCACCTGTCCCTGTTCATCGTGATCATGAGAGGGGAGTACGATGCCCTGCTGCCCTGGCCTTTCCGGAACAAGGTATAAGATAAGCCTGGGGAAGGGTAGCTTTAAGGAGGACTCAACCTGGATCCTAGTACTGGCTTAGCCATGAACTGACCATGTAACCTAATACCTACCATTATCAGTTTCCTTTCATAAAATGAAGCAGAGTTTAGAGCCAGTAGGCAAAACCCCCCATCTTCCTGAGCCAGCAGCTGCAGTATCTGGAACAGAGCACTCTGGAAAGATGTGTAGAAATGGGGCACACAGTGTACACAAAGAAGCCTTCTTATGGGGGGCAGTTGGGAGGCTTTCCCTGGACCCATGACCGGGCGGAGGGGTGCAGAGCATGAAGAACCCTCCTGGACTGATAGGGCATGCAAAGCCCTGCACTTCTTTGGGAGACAGTGTAAAAGTATCTTACAAGACTAAGTGTGCCCTTGCCATGTGACCCAGCAATTACCCTTGGTATTTACTCAAAGGAGTTAAGAACTCATGTCTGCATAAAACCTGCACAGGATAGGTATAGCACCTTTAACTGTTAGTTATCAAAACTGGGAAGCAGCTAAGATTTCCTTCAGGAGGTGAAAGGATTAAGCATACTAAAGTCAGACAATGAAATATTATTCAGCACAGAAAGAAATGCTCTAGCCACAAAAGATGTGGAAGGGCCGTGTGCTTGCAGAGAACCCAGGTTCGGTTCCCAGCACCAATATGGCAGCTAATAACTATCAGTAACTCTAGTTCTGGGGAATCTAAAGCCACCTCCTGGCCTCTGTGGGCCTTGCATGCATGGGTGCACTTACATACATTCATGCAAAATACTCATACACATATAAAATAAAAACAAATATTTTTTTAAGAAAGAAAGGAGGGAAGGAGGAAAGGGGCTGTGCGTGGGGCTTAGTGCAGTAAGGGGTAAGGCCTCCTTGGGGATTCTTGTGCCACCAAGTTTATGAATGACTTCAGTAAGTGATGGGAAGCTGTGTCATTTCCTGGGGGGTGTTCAAGGGCATGTTCCAGGACAGTTTATGACTGCTTAGATAATCCACTTCTTAGGGGTACATAATTCTGCTCTAGGTGTATCAGGCACCCAATAAAGTCCTTAGACTGCTCTCACCCCTCTGCCTGGCCACATGCGGTCCCAGCTGAGGTTGATGCACCCAAAGCGTCTGAGCCAAAGGACAAGTGTAGGTGTCTGGGTCTGTGCTCTTTGTCAGTGCTCCAGTCCCATCTTTAGCCCCAGCAGCCAACTGAACTATGGCATGACTTCCTGCTACCAAGGGCTGGGGAAATGGCTCAGTTGGAAAAGAACAAGCCCTGAAGCTGTCATGGTGCTGGGTGCTGCTTCTGTTCCAAGTCCTGCCCAAGCCCAGGTGCAAAGTCTTTGCACTATTGTCTGCTTCTTCTCAGTGTGAGCTAAAAGTCAGAGGCACAGCATAAGCAGTAGGCGTGGAGCCCTCTGAGCCTGAACACTGGGCCTCCATGCCTCTGTGCTGTGCCCTGGGAGCTCACCTCCCACCTGCCCCTGCCCTGCAGGTCACCTTCATGCTACTTGACCAAAACAACCGTGAGCATGCCATTGACGCCTTCCGGCCTGACCTGAACTCAGCCTCCTTCCAGCGGCCTCAGAGTGAGACCAACGTGGCCAGCGGCTGCCCGCTCTTCTTCCCCCTCAGCAGGCTACAGTCACCTAAGCATGCCTATGTGAAAGACGACACAATGTTTCTCAAGTGCATCGTGGACACCAGTGTTTAGGGACGGCGGGCCCTGGAGGACACCAGTTCAGACTGAGGGGCACTTAGCTAGATAGTGAATGGCATGTCCTTGGAGCCCACAGTCCAAGAAAAGGATGAACTGAGGCTGGCTTGATGAAAGGAACTTGCAAGTTGGCTGTTGTGTTCGGCTGGAGGGACTTGGGTAATGCCTTCAGAGGCAGAGCATCCAGAAGGAGGAAGAATTGCTCCCTACACACAGACCACACACCACCAGGAGGCCAGCACACCAGGAGGGCCGGAATATTGGGACCAGCTTTGGTTAAGATGGGGAGACTGGCCTGAGGTAGAAACATAGCCAAGGCTATAGGGCTTGAGTAGAGGAGCCCTCAGGCTAGAAAGCTCTGTGTAGGTCAAGAGAACTGGAAATATATGTTTCCTCTCCCTGATCAGGCTCAGAACCAGGACCACGGGGCAGAAGGGGTGGGATCCAGTATGAATTCAGCCTGTCCAGGCCTGGATTGAGTTCCTCATTACTAGATGTTAACAGGTAAATTCAGAAGCTGTATTCGGGAAGGCGTGAGGGCTACATTTGAAGATGTTTAATGTCCTTTACAGACAATAAAAAACTGACTGCCAAGCTTGCTGGGCCAGGTGAGGCCTTACACCCACGGAGGAATCGGGGAACTTTCAGGAGCCTCATCCCCTCCAACTCCTCAGGAGAAACCAGGTCATTGTGAGCTCCTAGGAGCTGCAGGAGGGATGTGGGGAGGAGGGAGCAGGCATCAATTTTCTGCTTCTCTGCCTAGAGCCCCAGAACGGATGCGGCTCTGAGCCACCGACAGAGGTTGTCCTTTTAAATTTGTATGAAAACAGAGCTTTAAAAAAAGATTCTCCAAGTTTTCACTGGGTGTGTGGTGCCTGAAAAAGCCATTGCTGGGGTCAAGGTGGTTTTGCTGGTGGCTTCGGAGACCACTATGCTGACAAGAATGTCCCCCCTTGGCCTAAGCCTCCTCCCCTTGTAATGGAGACCCACCCAGCCTGCCTCCCACACTGCCATCCTCAAGGGACAGGCCACCCAGGAGAGACAGAAGGAATCCCCAGCCCCAGGAGCCTGGCAGGGCTGCTCAGTGGCCCAAGCCTGGGTTCTCACCCAGCCCTTTGGGGACTGTCACCAGCTTCCCTGAGACCCTGAAACTTGCTGTTGCTGCTCAGGATCAGGGTACTCTCACCCTCCAGCCTTCTCGGCTGCTCACTCTTCAGTTGCTGAGACTGTGGTTTACCCTCAAGCCTTCAGGTTTTCATTTGTTAATGGGTTACTTGCCCACTGCTCTCCCTAGCCTGGCCAGGCTCTGAGAGGATCAATGAGCAAGCAGTATAGCACCGGGCCCAAGAGATCAGAAACCCAGGCTCAAGATTCCATCGTGCTTCAGCCTCATCATTTGGAAATAGGAAGACCGCTCACTCCCTGTTTTCCCGACTCACAGGACGTGTAGGATGCCCAACTGCAATGGCAGAGCATTAGTACCTGGCTGTGCGATTGCACCTCCATGTATGTACACTGCAAACTGGCCAGGATTTCTTTCTTGTTTTCACTGTTGTGTGACACTATTCCTGGGGACATATTAACAAATGTGTACTCACTCCAGGTAGGGAACCAAGGACAGACCAAAGAAACCATACCACCAAAATCCAACTTGATGAAGCAATTAGTTTATTGGGGTTATTTAAAGAGTATAGGTGAGGGGTTACTTAGAGGAGCTAAATTGACTCAAAGACAGATGCATCACCAAAACCTACCCCAGCACAGATGACAGCTCATGAAAGTAGGAAGCGGACTGCATAATATGCAGGCAGCCCAACACGTTAGAATTCCTTTCCAGGCAGCCCAGTTACCAGGCAGGTCTCTACTCCTGAACAGCTCTGCAGATGTTCCTCCAGATGGCTCAGTTGGTCTGAGACCATCTTTGAGAAGTCATTAGGCTTACATATGCTTGGAAGGAAGGAGCCTAGGGAACCTGGTCAATTTCAGAGACTGCTTGATGCTATTGAGTTGTTTACTTCCTCAGTTTAAGAGCTTCCCTAGAGGATGGAATGTTTTACCACCTCTGAGAACATTCTGTTGTTTACCCAGCTTTCCTCTAAATGGGAGTTTTTATCTAGGAGAAAATTGCTACACAATATCCACTCCTCACAGCTTGTCAGTCATGGAAATGGATCCCCTCCCTTAGGCCTCAAAAATCACTATTGTAGTTAAGCTAAGGATGACCTTGAACTTTTGATTCTCCTGCCTCCACCTCCCTCCCTCCCCAGTACTGGGATTACAGGCATGCACCACCACGCCTGGTTTAGGCGGTGCTAGGGATCAAACACAGAGGTTCCTGCATGCTAGGCTGGCATCCTGCTGAGCTACCATCCACAGAGGTTCCTGCATGCTAGGCTGGCATCCTGCTGAGCTACCATCCACAGAGGTTCCTGCATGCTAGGCTGGCATCCTGCTGAGCTACCATCCACGTTTTTAGTTGAGCATATTTGATGGGAAGAGGTGCATGCTGTCTTACACTTTCAGGAAAGCTTTACTGACTGTTGTATGAGCCATTTATGCCTGGACACTCTGAGAGTGAGATGTGTACCCTGCCCTCTAGAATCTTCTAGTTCATTGGGAGAAACTGGTACAGTGGTAGACTATTATCGCTGAAAATAGAATAAGTAGGAAAAAAAGCTTAGAATCCACTGGATAAAGCAGCAGGGGCTTCATGGAAGAGCTGGGCTTTAAACTCAGCCTAAAATATGGTAAAATGCAGAAGACACGGGTGTAAAGAGCAGCCTCAGAGAGATAGGGGGATGTCTTGGCTACAGGCAGAGGCTGGGTGGCCAAAGGCCATAGGGGAGGGAAGAAAGGCCAGATTAGCCAGAACACAAAAAGGACAACTGGCCAGAACACAGAAAGCATCAAATGCAGGGCTGCTGTCCACCTCTGGGGCCCTTGGCCTGTTAACAGCGGGATGAAACAGTGAGCTAGACAGGTGGATCATTTCTCTTCCAAAAAAGCCCCGTGTTCAGTACGTCAAAGGCCAGGCAGCACATTTCTTAACAGGTGATTCAGGGGTCAGGAGACAAGGTCCTGCTTGCTCTGCCTTGGGTGAGATTGATAGTGGCCTCAGGGCAGGGGATCCACTGCTGTACCAGGAGCTGTCTCATTTGCTGCAGCATCCGGAGCATGAATGTGCACACGTGTGTTTAAACAGTGCATGCATGTGGCAGAGGCAAGACTTGGGGATCATGACAGAGGGAGCTGGATCTTGTAGTCCCTGGGACTGATGGCCTTCTTTGTTTTTTGAGACAGGGTCTACCTGTAGCTCCAGCTGGCCTGGAACTCACTGTGTAGACCAGGCTGGCCTTGAACTTACAAAGATCTGCCTGCCTCTGCCTTCCCAGTGCTGGGATTAAAGGCATGTGCCACCACACCCAGCCTTTATGATGGCCTTTTTTGTTGGGTCCTTTCCTCAAGTCCCACTTATTGCAAAGTATTCTTCTGGGGAAGTCCAGGATGTGCAGTGCTAACATAACTCCCAGATGCCCATGAAAGAACAATATCAAGATCCAAAAGGGGCCAGACACTGGGACAGACTACCTATCAGGCTGGTGGCTTTTCCTACTCTCTCTGATGGGAGGGGAGAAAGTCATGCAAAGGCTCTGTGCATGTGTGTGTGTGTGTGTGTGTGTGTGTGTGTGTGTGTGTGTGAGAGTCTCTGTGTGTGTGTGTGTGTGTGTGTGTGTGTGTGTGTGTGTGTGTGTGTGTGTGTGTGTATGTGTGAGCACAGGTACATGTGGGGCAGTAGAGGCCAGAGGTCAGCCTTAGGTATTGTTCTCAGGTGCTATGGCCTTGTTTTTTGAGACAAGGTCTCTCACTGGGACCTAGAGCTCACCAATTAGGCTAGGCTAGCTAGCCAGCAAGCCCCAGGGATCCACCAGTCACTTCCTCCCCAGCCTTAGGGTTTCAAATGAGCACCACCACTCCTGGCTTTTTATGTGGGTACTGGGATTGGGCTCAGGTATTCATGCTTCTGCAGCAAGCACTTCACCAACCAAGCCATCTCTCTAACCCTCCTTTGCAGAGATTTTTAGAGAAGCTTGAGAACAAGGAGGGACCCTACTACCAAAGGGCAGAGCCACCATGGACCTGGGTCTTCTAACCACAGTTCACAGCCTTCCTAGCATACACCAGAGCCTGGCAGTATTGATCTGTGTTGAAGAATCTTTTCACACTTCCACCCCAAAGCATAGCTCCATATCTGGAGAGGTTCCCCAGGCTGGCATGGGTTGGGAGCCACTTGAGACACGGCATCTGAGACTTGGTGGGAAGAGCTCCCCTCTGCTGCCACTGTCCTCCTGAGAAAATCTGTGCCCCATTCACATCTCATAATGTGGGGGTGATGAAGGCACCCCAAACCCTAAGGCCATGAGAGCATCTGGCATTCAACCTGCCAGAGACTCTCTCTCCTCTGCTGTGGGTCCTAAGAGAGTTGCCTGCCATCTCTGAGCTCTGCACAGTGGGCAGGTGAGTGGTGACAGACACAGGTCTCCAGCACCAATCCTGCCAGAAACCTCTTCCCCACTTGTTGCCTCAGTTTTCCCATCTGTTAAATGAGGGAGCTGAATCCTATGGTATCTACTGACCACCCTAGAACTCAGGTCTCCTACCGCATGGCAACAACTCCCCTACCTGCCAGGAAAGCTCTCTTTGCAGATCATAAATATTTCACCTTACTGTTTATTGTGTCTTAAATAATCTACAGGCAAGGCAAGTGAAATGAACCTCGGTCTGAAGTGACTTGTCCATGGTCCCACGGTTGTCTGTGTCTGAGCTGGGGCAAGGCAGCAGCAGTCTGATTAGACTCCCATCTTGGCTGCCTAGAGCTACCCTACTCCATCATCTCTGCATGTAGGTATAAAACAGTAAGGCAGACTGAGTGTCCACATCCCAAGACCTAGGACTTGGGAATGTGTTACCTTACATGGCAAAACAGACTTTGTAGATACTATTAAGTTAAATATCTTTATTTGGGAGAGTACCCTGGGTTACTCAGGGAGCCCAATGTCATCAGAAGGGTGATCATAAGGGGAGTCAGAAGACCTTGAGGCAGAGGGGCTAGAGAAATGGCTCAGCAGTAGGGACCCAGGTTCAGTTCTCAGCACCCACATAGCAGCTAAAAACCACCCATAACTCCAGTTCCAGGGGATTCAACACCCTCTTCTGACCTTCACCACAGGCATTGCATGACATGGGTGTACTTACACACATGTGGGCAAAACACTCAGACACATAAAATTAAAATAATAATTTTTTTAAAAAAAATAAGGCCCCAAGGCAGAGAAAACAAAATAATGAAAGAAACAGAAATGACAATAGAAACTTCATTTAGGAAGACATACTTTGAAAATGGAGAAAATGACCATAAGCCCAAGTGCAGGACAAGGGACACACTCCCCACAGAGCCGCCAGAAGGACACAGCCCAGCGGACAACTTGATCTGGCCCTGTAAATCTCACTTCAGACTTCTGACCTCCAGAACTGAAAGAGACTATGGCTTTGAGCCACTAGGTTTGTGGTAATGTGTTCCAGCAGTCAGGAAACTAATGCATTACTTGAATTATGGCTCCACCAAGCTAAGATGTACTGGGAACTGACTTCATACAGAAGAGGGAGTTTAACTTATCTCATTAACATGTTTCTGTGGGTGATAGGTTAAAATGATTTTTTTAAATTTGGATAGATTAGATTTCTAGGAAGTTTCCAACTGCATCTGTAGCTCATGTGAGTGTAACACCAGACAGCACCAGAAGGTTTTTTCCATTGCTTTGGCCAGAAGGGACAGGCCCCAACCTCTCCATGTGGCCTGAGGCCAGCTTTGTGGAACTGAGAATAAGGTTCCCTGCCCCCCTATACACACAACCCCTGCAGGTGAGGAGTCCTGGTGAGTGTCCCACTGCCATTTTCCCCAATGCCTCTGAGCCAGCCCATGTCCCTGCAAGACGTGATGCTTATTTTTAGCACTCGCTGCCTCTGCACAGCTGGCTCCGAAGCTTTGCTGGGTG